ACTGCATGCCCTCAGTGCCTTGCTCCAGGGTGATGGAGTCAGACCGTGCACTGTTCCCGCACTGTGTCTCTAGTGCTGTCCCCCGCAGCACAATGGTTCAGTGAGGAAAGCTGTGCTCCGTGGTGGGGCCGCCCCTAGGGTCCTCTCTGTGTGTTGTCTGCTCTGAGCAGGAACATGGTCCTCGGGGCTTGGTGGGCCGAGGATGTAAATCTTATTCAGAGTAGAAAGCTTCCTCTTTCTCCCTCAGGAGACCCGGTGGTTTACAATTGCAGACCTTGAGGTTAGCAGCCCAACATATAACCCACTGTGACAGCAGGGCTCCTTTGGAAGTGGGTTAGAACCTACAATCTGAAGGTATTTGGTCTGCAGATGACTGTAGTCAGCAATCAGAGCCCTCACTGCACTTTGAGCCTGGCCATCTTGAGTACTTTACATACTTCTTTCTGATCACTGAACTGCTGGGAAAGCAGAAGGCAATGACCACAATAAACCTAGGAAAGTGGAGAGGGAGAGGCAGCCTTTGGAAAGGCAGATTAACCAGTGCTCACACAAAAGGCGAAGGAACTTGGTTGAGGTGCATCCTTTTCCGAACGAAGACACCGAGATCTCTTCTCTTCCCTTTTTGTAGCCTGTTGCACCAGTGAAGATATCCCTCTCTCCTGTCCTACTAGTGTTACGGCAAACCCGGTTTGGTAAGAAGTCCTGGTGACCCTGGATGAAGCTAAAGGCCACCAACCACAATGTCGTCAGTTCAAAGCTCCTAGCTACTCCTGGGGAGAAAGATGAGGCTATCTACTCCCATAAAAGATTTAAAGATCTAGAAACTCAAAGGGGCAGTACCACTCTGACCTGAGTCACTATGAGTCATAACTGACGCACTGGCAAGTGAGTGGAAGGGGTTGGTTTTGTAATGTTCTCTGAATATTGTTCTGACAGCATAGGGGTCAGTTTCCCACCTCTGCTTTCTCTTTGATGTTAAATAAAATTGTGCCTAGCACAGCAGACAGGATATGTCTTAGAACAGAGGGTGGAGAGACTTCTGTCACATACTTTATGTTATCAGGAGGGGGCCAGTCTCTGGAGAAGGACATCATGCTTGGTGTATTAGTCTGGGTACTTTGCTAGTCTCTCAACTTTCTCTCATGGACGTGAGTTGCACTAAGCCATTTGTAGTGCTTTCTAATTTAACTGTTTATTTCTTGTATTATATATTTATCTGTATATGATTTAACAGTTCATTTCTCGTTATATATCTAATTATCTTGATAAATAACTATATTAAATTATCAGGAATTTGGTTTTATCTCTCTAGAGAACCCTGTCTAACACATTTGGTAAACTCAAAGATCAGCAAAATGAGATGGATTGACACAATGGCTGCAACAATGGGCTCAAATATCACAGCACTTGTGAGGATGGGGCAGGGCCAGCCAGTGTTTCTTTTGTTGTACATCGGGGCCTTGGGAGTAATGAGCTAGTGCCTAAGAGCAAAGGTACCCCTGACGGAGGTCTGGTTTCATTCTAAGCCTTAAAATTAGGCCAAATGCCATCTTGAGTCCCTCCGATTCACTTTTTGACCGCAGAACATCCAATAGTGAAGCCCAAGCCGACAGGCAATGTCCTTGGTAACATGGGAAGGCAGGGGGGGAGCAGTTTAGTTACCAGAAAGATAGATGAGGGAGGAACACACACCGGGAACATAGACAATGGATAGACCAAGGATAAGGGTAGGCAAAGATAAGGGTAGGTTCCCCTTCCAGCCAAGATAGGCAAATAGGGAGGTGCATCCCCTTTGTGCTCCCCAAATCTGGCTGGCTAGACCAACCCAAGAAACCCTGCTGACCGTCTTTACCAAAAAGCCTTTTGACAAAAGTTTTGCAGAAGTTACTGTTGATCTGATCGGTTTTAAGCACCAAACCACTACCAAAATGTACGAATCGTGGACGGCTTTTCAGACGGACAGAGCCGCAATAGTGTGTCAGTCCGCTTCCCATCCCTTGGCGTCTTGGCCCACACGCCAAATAAATTTTGTTTTCTCCTCACTATTATAATGCGGTGATGCTTTCTCCCTAGGAGAGTAGGAGCCATCTGGAAGGCTCCTAAACAACTAAGCACTGAAAACTTCTGAACAGACCAGGGACAGGCAAACTTTTCACAACCCCATGAGCGGGAGCGGAAGGACCTGACGCGACGGTGCGCGCCAAGGTGACAAAGGCGCTGCGCTGGCGCCGCGAGCCGGCCCCCCTTGCGGGCTTGGGGCGCCTGCCCGCTCCCCCACCCACCCACTCCGCGCCCACTCCAGGCTCCCGGTGAATCAAAGCCCGTCAGTGTGAGTCCCCCCTCTACCCGCCCCCGGCCGCGGGAGAGTCGCTGTGACCAGAGAGATAACCGAGGCCAGCCTCCGGAGCTGAGCACCTTACACTTCCCTTAGCGGCCGGAGTCCTGGCGCGACCAGAACACGTTTCGAACCCGGGGTGCTGGGAGAGGCTGAGGTCGCGAGGGGCACCTCTGAGCCCCCCCACCCCCCC